GCTAACAAGGACTAGAGAGAACAAAGACAATCTTAGCATAAACTTGATAAAACAACCACTGGCCTGAAGACAGAGAAAGAACTGCAGGGGAGTGACTGGTGAACAGTGTATAAGTATGGAGGAGACTAATGAGGTGCAGCTGGTGAGTAATCAGGGAAGAGGGACAGGTGTGTTGAATAGTGTAATCAGTGCAAGGGCTAGGCTAGTGTGAGGAGAGAGAAGAGAGGAAGGTGGAGCTGGGCAAACCTGACAATATATTGATTTCTTTATTAGTAAGACCATCAGTAACAAAATTCCTGAAACCTCTGCTCAGAATTCTAATGCTTGTCCTGATTGATTTAGATGTTTTACATGCAGACTTCTAAATATAAAATGGATCATAGTACAATACAGAATAAAGGCTCCTCTATTCTTTTCTGTGTGTAAGATCTCCTGTGCAGTCTGGAACTGTGCAGAGAGGAGGGACAGGAAACTGCCCTGAGGTCAGTGGGATTACTCTGCAAGCTCATGTTTGCAGGAGTGAGCTCTGCACACAGCGACCCATTGTCTGTGAAGGGACCCAAAATGCACTTTACTGCAGGGACCCACTTCAGATTTGTGAGCATAATGCTAATATCACTCTGGGGCATTTTTGGGGGGGAAATCCTTTGTTTGTGTACTTTACTGTGTCAGTATTAGTCGTAACTTCAGTATTAGTCGTTTACAGAAAGCATCTTCTGTCTGTGCGCTGTGCTCATGAGCCTGTGTGTCTAATTTCCCCCTGACTGGATTGCATTTATCTTAATTTAGAGAGCCAGATACTGACTGCTGCAGGCTGCTTCTAAATGTTAGCTTGCAAATACACGCTTCAGCTGAACAGTGTTACTTTATTGAAAACATGCTAATGGAATAATTATGACTCTATAAATATGACTGTAATCTAAATTCAAGTACTATAATCATATGAAAGTCACACCTGTTAAATCATGTGTGACATGTGGATGCAGTCCTTTCCAAAAACCAGTTCCTTAAAATACTGTACATACAGACCAGTGACATATTAAAGGAAAACCAAGATAAAGAGTGTCAGGGAGGTGCTGGGCCACCATCTGCCACCAGAACAGCTTCAGTGCACCTTGGCGTCAACTCTCCAAGTCTCAGCTCTACTTCTCTTCTTCCAGCAGATGTTCCCTCATGTAGTATTTTGATGATGGTGGTGGAGATGCTGACTGCACTGTAAAATACTCTGGTACAAGTCTTGTATTCAAACTGTTACTTAAGTAAAAGGATAAATGTTTTAGCGTGAAACATACTTAAAGTACCAAAAGGAAAAGTCCTCATTGTGCAACATGGCACAGTTTCCATTGATGTACATCATATCATTTGATTATAATTACTGATGTATTATTGTGTACATCACATTTTAACATCACAGCTGGTAAAGGTGGAGCTAATGTATATACTTATAATTTGAATTACTGTTGGGCAGCTTTTTTTTACATCAAGACTCAATACATTTTACGATTATACTGTATTTTGTTTCCTCATAAACCTCATCCTGAAAAGTAACTAGTAAATAAAGTTATCAAATAAATGTAGTGAAGTTGGAGAGGTGGCCTCACAATAATATAGGCTTCAAGCATGAACACCTTTTGTTTTCTCGCACTGCAGACTGTGTGGAAATCATCTCCGGCATCAGATCAGTGAAGATCCTGAAGAGAGTGGGCAGTCACAGGGGCATGTGGACCAGAGACCCAAGATCCTCTAAGGTTTACATCTTTAACGGGACAACAGGAGACAGAATCTACCAGTTCAAGTCTGTACGTGACTTTGCCCGCTCTCCTGGAGTCACCAACAGCAGACAGATCAGACTGCCCTCTGAGTGGAGTGGGCCTGGCAGTGCTGTTTATAATGGCTATTTGTACTACATAAAACAGGAGGCTGATACAGACGTGTGGGTGGTCAAATATGACCTCCTGAGTGGCTTGGTGACAGACACTGCCATGTTCCCTGTGGCTAACCACGCTACTGTCTACAGCCTAAACCCAGAGACTGTTGCGGACCTTGCAGCTGATGATGAGGGCCTCTGGCTGCTGTATGCCACTGGTGACAGTGAACCAAACATCAGCGTCGCCAAGATGGACCCCGCCACACTCGATATAGAACAAATCTGGGACACCCACTGCCCAAGGGAAAATGCAGAGGCAGCATTTGTGGTCTGTGGAACTGTCTATGTCGTTTATAACACCCGGCTGGCCAGCCGCTCTCGGGTTCAGTGTGTGTTTGACGTCAACGACATGGTGATCAGCGAGGAAGCTCCTCTGCTCTACTTCCCTAGAAGGTACGGAGCCCACTCCAGTCTGAAATACAACCCAGAGGAGAAACAGCTGTATGGCTGGGACGATGGCTACCAAATTATTTACAGACTGACCATGAAAAGGAAAATCCTGGTCTGATGACTGGGAAGTGGTGTCATGTATTCAAAGGCAAGGATAATAAAAAGAAATATATTTTTACATGATAACTACCTAATACTTGAGCCTATCAGGTGCAACTTCCAGTTATTCCTTTCACTGAACAGGCGACGAGATAATCATGTGCAACATGTGCTCAATGTTTTTTTTTTTTAGATTTCTGGGAAATAAATGATCTTAGGAAACATTCACATTTATTTCTGGTTTTGAGATAAAACCAAGGCTCTGTTCCACCTCCTTCAATAATAGATGTTTGACTTTATTACTGGGCAAGAAATATGTCTCACAGCAAGGAGCCAGTAAAGTATTATAATAGTACCATATGTTATCTGAGTGTTCCTATCACTTGTTAGTAGAGCTATCATCCCATTATGCCTGTTTAGGTGACAGGCTGGTTCCCACATTATATTTCTCTTTAATCACTAAGAACATAAACAGTCCACAGTAACACTCAGTAAAAGGAACAACCAGAAGCCGCACCCCTAATTTAGCCGAGGCATCAAGGGGCTGGGAACAGGGTGCAAGTCTTTCAATAGCTTTGCAATTATGGTGCGTTTATGTCACACCAGAGTAACTGAAACTTAATTACAAGGAAAGTTTTTTTGTTTTCTGAAAGCTGAATATATCAGATTTGGTTTTAACAAGTAGGTAAGTACAGCTAAGTCTGTTGCTAAAGGTGATTAACACTAAAAATTTGTCAATATAGTGATATATTGAAAAGCACTTTATGCTGTATCTTCACACGTCCACCACTTAACCATCAATAAGAACAAAGTCACTACACATTGTGCTTAATGCCTGTAACATTTATTGATTAAGGGCTGGAATCTGAGTGCAACGCAGTAGCACAAGTTGTAAACATGCGAATCTTTCCCATCATTAACCTCCCTCCCACACGACATGAACGCAGCATTACCTCACAGCCTGATGTCATTCATGGTCACTTAACTACAGATCACAAATAATATCACTCACTTTTAAGAAAATCAATTAGCCTTTTATCAGTTATTTAGAGATTTGATTTTTCTTTTACAATAAACCTAAACTAGACAAACAAGACATGGTTATGCCATTTGGTTTGTTTGAGGGTGTCGCATCTTACTGCTGCGTCTTCTTTTAGTTTGACTCTGATTCAGACAAACTCTCAGTTTCTTTATGCTTATTCCTGCTCGTTAAGCAGCTGGCTGTGTCGTCATTATATGGCGTGTTTGCCACAAAGTAAACATGACTGAGCCCATTTTGCATAAGTCTTTTAATCCAAGAAAAGATCATGTCACAGAACTGATTACACATCACACTCAGCGGGAGGAAAACAAAGAGCCAACTCTGTTCTGCTGTTGATTTTCAGACAAAAGAAGGAATATCGTACACTATTTCAGTTTACTTTATTACACACTGGGTCAGTCTCAGTGATGATCTGTATCTAAAAGGAACTCATAGTAGACTTTTGTCTGAACTAACAACTCGATGTCATTCACCAGAACGTTTTCTCAAATATTTCTATTACAAATACAAAAGGTTCAATACAAAATTGAGTTCAGTGCTGTCATTACAGTTGGAAGGGATACGAGATCATATCAAGAAACATTACAATATTAGGCAAAGCTAGGTCTTGAAACAGTCCATAAACTGAGGCAATTGATTTAACTATGAAAACACATCATTACATTGTCAGAGAAATATATGACCATCGTAAAGCACATGTTTTAAAAAGGAAGAATAGAAACTACCTTATTATTGAACCACTAGTTTCAAAAGTTACACTTAAATAAGATATTAGAAATGTATGAATGATGCCACTACAGAGGAATTTCACCATTAAAACAACTGTGTGAATGGGAGCAAATGTCAAACTGTCACATCTGGGGGTGGGGGGTGTTGATGCTATAATGGATTACATCAAGCACGAACAATAATGCACTGACTCATTCTCACTATAGCAAGTGCCAATTAGAGAAATGCCACTGCTCTGTAGATGCTGACCTGCCACCGTGTTGTCATCTCAGCCTCGCACACACACACACACACACACACACACACACA